TTAAGAAAAACAGGCATAGCTGAGCTCATTCTGAATTGAGATGGAGGAGAGAGGAATTTGACCATAACTAAAATATGCGTTCCTCAGTTGTCAGAAATCTGAAAAACATTGCCTTAGATAAAGGGGTAACTTATTTTGTTTCCTCTCAAAGCATGCGGTCGCTCCCTGAAGCGCCGCCCCTGTCTGTTCCCAACCTGCCACTTGCCGCCGCGGCTCCCGCTCTCAGCCGCTTCTCCCTCCCCTCATTCGGGCGCCCCTTCCCTCCCGCTCGCCTCTCATTGGGCCGGGGCCGTGTGACGTCACAATCGCAGAGCCTCGGCCGGCGGTGATATCATACGGATACACCTGAACATCTGCATCATGGACACAAGGGAAAAAAGGGGGGGGGTTGTCTCACGACGCACGTGTGAAAGGCTACGCGCTGGTTTCGGGAGCTTTGGTGACCTCTTCCAGAGCCTTCCCTGAATGCCTTGTTTTCTTGTCCCTCTCCTTGCCACGGGATAATAAACGGTTCCCTTATGCATTAATTATAAGAAACTGTTGAGTTGGAGATCAGATGATGAACACTTTGGCTCTCGATGCTCTTATCCTCCTGGCTGGCGGCAAAACATGCATTTATACACGCACCCCTTCAAGTTATGTGGAAAGTATAGCCATCCAGACTTGCTCAGTTTGAAAAGTGTTTCATTACTTCGCACAATAAATACATGGAAAAACTGTACAGTGCGGGGGGGGGGCAGGCCATCAACTGCCCTTCTACAGAAGGGATTAATTGCACACAACACCCTTTTCCTTTATCATTGTCATACCTCACCTTGATTAAATTCATGCAATTAACAGATTGTACACTTCCGTTTAGCATATGGCATTAAGGGCCTTCCATATTCACATGAACTTCAAAATACTGGGAAACAGCTGGATCCTTAATAGACACACTATGTAGCCGACATGAACACGGTATGGTAATGCTGTGGTTAGCTCCAGCTTGGATGGACGTCAATCGCAGAGTGTCGGATTAAGATGGAGGGACTGGAGTTTCACATTTCAGCTTTCCTTCCTTCAGCTTTCTGCATTTGGAGTATGGGAATGTTTGTGGAAAAAAAGTGGGTGGCTGTTTAAACTCAAGGTGTGTTCAGTCTAAAAAACACTACATTTCAGTATTTTCCTCAAGATCATAAGCAGAGTTACACTAATAACCAGATAAAATTATTTAGTCAATTCAGTGTAATCACAACAGCGTGTATAAATCAAAGCATGCGGGTGGGGGTGGGGAGCCGAGTGATTTCAGTTCTATTCTGAAATATTCCTTCTCAAAGGTGGACTAAACTGTGCCTACTCCCTGCAGTCTCTTTTGTTTTTGTGGTAACCAGCCATACTCACTCACCCCCCTGTATGCCACCCGTTTGCCTTTCCCTCACCAACTGCACTAGAGAGGAAACAGAATTTTGGTCCCTGTAGAAGAAGAGTTTATGGAATGCATAGGATAAAATGGGCTGGAATCACCCACCACCCAATTTTAAATAAAAGCTATCATCACTTCTTATCATTGGCATATATCAGACCTGCATCCTGACACACTGCAATAGTGTGTTCCTCAGGAGACCCTATGCACATGCAGATATTGGTGTGTAAATCTAGCAAAGCTGAAAGGCAGTCAGTAATGATCGAACAGCTGGAAGTCATTCAGCACTTTTTGAACTCCTGTAAACAATTACTTAGTTTTGCTACCTCAGATTTGGCATGGGCCAGTCTGGAAGGAGTGTCCTCCAGTTTTGTCAAAGTTTAGATAAACTCGGTGAGCAATTTTCTGCTGATCAGACATAGAAGCTACTTCCCCCACCCCAGTTATAATGGCAGGATTAATCTAACCCAGTCCTAACACAGGGCCACAACTTTGGCCCTATAATACTGCATTTCTCTCTCTGCTCTCATTAATACATTGCATTTTCCCCTGCCCTCAAGTGCTGTGGTGCCATGCTGCAGAGAATGTTTTTCTTTTTTAGTGATAACTGGGCCAACTCTGTCATTGGGCAGAGAGAGAGCGAGAGAGCGCACTTCTCAGGCAGAACTGAAAGGTACACAAGGGTTGCGAGCAGGGTATAGGACAACAGAACTGTGTGTGTACCTATTCTGTGCCCTATAAACTAGTTTTCTGCCCTCAACTGATGTACAGAATGTTGCCCCATCACCAGTGCTGAAATAAGGTTCAACTGCCAGCTCATTTGACATAGGCAGGGGAAATGGCGTGGGGAAAGTCACCATTTTAGTCTTTACAGCCAAACATCTTGAGGTGGTGCTAGATGATGAGCTATATCTGGTCAATTCAACACATGACAAATGCATTATGCACAGAGCAGAATGAGCTTCATTATTTTGCTACCTACATGGGATGTGAGTGATTATTAAGCATGTGGCAGCCCACAATTCATGGGCTACATTGGTGTGCGGGCAGAAGATAACACATGCACTATTCATGCAGGGATTATTGGTGGGGATGTTTTTTTTTTAAACCTGAAAGTGGCTTATGCGCAAGCATCAGAATTGTGGAGTTCCTATTTTAATTGGCAATGGGCAAAATGATACTTCTAGCACGTCACTGGCCAATGGTTACAGTGAAATCACTGGGATTCATAATTTTAGCCATATGGGACACTTGTGATGTCATGTTTCATGCTATAGCAAGTAATTAAATCAAAAGATTCACAGACACACACCCCTCCAAGCTCTAGTATTTATTTCATTGCTTACTATAGCATGGAATCAGAATCACAAATATATCTTATGGTGAATGCTATGAAGCCCAGTAACTGATTGATTAATTGATTGGCTGTTAGATGAACAGATTACAGTTCCTAGAATTGCTGAATCACCCTGTTCTGGTGATTGTGAGATTCTGGATTCTGTAACTCAGAAAACTGTTTTACATTGTGGATTTCCAGTGTTCATGTTGTTTTACTGCTGTTGTTTTATAAAGTTCAGTGTAGCTTCTGGGAACTGGATAAGCAAATTAAAGTTTAACTTAATATTGAATATGATCTGGAAAAACACTTAATAGCAAGAAGAAAGGGGCTGAATATGTAATTTGAATCCTGGGTATATTGGTATCAGTGAAGCTTCCTTGAAAACAAGAAACACAGTTTCTTGGGAAATTCTGCTGCACCAGCCCTACTGAAAAATATGGAAAGAGCTCTAAGCTATTATAACTGTTTTTGCCCCAAAAAGCACTCTTATTGCTGATTACAATGCTTTTGAATGCCCTCAAACAATGCAATGGAAATGTAGTTTGAAAATACAGTAAAAGCCCTTTAGATATAAACACAGCTACTTGAAAATGTGCATCTATTGAATCTGTTAAACAGAAAGGCATGGCACTAGCATGTTAGTGGCTGTTCTCCCTTCACCCTTTTTTTTGCACCTCAAGTCTATACATGCTCTGATTCTGTTTTCTTCCTTTTGGGATAAGTCTGCCATCTGCTGGATATTTATATATTATAATTCCATTTCATTTTCAAGGATTCTTGTTTAAAAACAGAAATCCCACATGCATTACTGTGTTAATTTGTTAAAGGAAACACCAATAAAGGGTCCCGCAGCAAATTAAAAGTTATTTTTTGTGGCACAATTTAGCTCATTTTACTGGAGACATGACATGGACAGAGTTGAAACAAACAGCAAAAGGAGATTATTTTTAAAAAGCCCATATTTAAAGGAACAACCATACAACCAAATTTTATATGGGGGTGTAAACCAGATGGCAGTTGGGTGCAATTATATTGCTTTCATTAATTTTGATTATGTATTTTTCATTACTGCCAGATGAAGAAAATATGACAATTCCCCCTCAAAACAAAATGTATGGCTATCCATATTCTTTAAAACATACTATTACTATTCATACATACAAAACATACAGAATAAGACCTAACAAAAATAACATAAACAACAAAAATAATGCTAAGCATTCATACTACATACAGTATATGTATCAGAGATTTGGCCATTGGCTGGTCATCTAATATCATCAAAGGGTATCTGTGAGCACCGATTTGCCATGACTATTTCTATCCCTGAATTCCCATTTGTTTCTGGGCCCAATTGTATATCAGCTTCCAGCTTTCTTTTACAAAGTATCTTGGTTGATCCCACACTGCCTCTGAAAGCATATCTAGTAGCTTCTCTAATAGCTCCTCCATCGTTGGTACTTCTCCATTCTTCCATTTTTGGGCCCAGAGTAACCTGGAGGCTGTGTACATATATACAACAGACTATATTTTATTTTTAATCAATAATCTGTGGCATTATATTTAATAATAACATTTCAGGTTTAAAACATAATTTTTGATGAACAATTTCTTATGATGTTTCCCAAACTTGTAATCAAATTTTTTTGGCTTTTTTGCATGACCACTATACATATTAAGTCTCTAGAGGGTTTTTTTTTTACATTTCCAACAAACATTACTGATCCCTTCTGACATTTTTGCCAATCTTGCCAGAGTAAAATGCCATCTGTGAAACATTTTAAGGATGTTTTCTCTGAGGCTGACTAGTTTAATCAGCTTATAATTATCTTTCCACATTCTTGTCGAGTCATCAATATCAATATTATAACCAAAATTTTGTGCCAATTTGACCATCACCTCCTTTACCCTCTCATCTTAGGTCATACTCTAATAGATATGTATACATTTTTTGTTATTTTCTCATTTGTATAAATCCATAGTTGATCTACGTGAACTTTTCCCTCAAAAAAGCCCATATTTTTGTCCTTTTTATATCTTGATTCTAATTTCAGCACTGACCACCAATCTGTTGCTACACCCAGCTTCTCCAAGTCTTGTTTATTTTGCATAGTTTGATCTTTAGTTAACAAGTCTTTATACGTGAGTAAAACTCCCTCCTGATTTAACACTTTCAATATAAATGCTTCTATTGGGGCTATCCATAATGGAATTTTCTTATAAGTTTACACTTGAAATTTTTGCTATGTTCTTTCAATGTAAATGCCTCTATTGGGGCTATCCATATTTTCTTATAAGTTTGCACTTGAAATTTTTGCTATGTCACTAATGCTATGTCTCTGGGCTAGTGGAGTCTGGATGTGGCATAACCTTGCTCCTCTTTCACCCTACCTCTTCTTCATATCTTCTTTTTTGTCTGCTTTGTTTGTTCTTCTGCTGCCTGATTTAAGCCAGCACAGCACTTCTGCTGTCAGAGCCTTCTGCTGTCAGACCTCTGAGACCAGCTGGCACAAGAGGCTTCTGTCTGTTCCAAACTCACTTTAATCAGTGCATCTTTCAGTGAGGGCTGTACTGCTAATGGGGAACATTCTGGTATACAATAGGCAGCTGGAAGACAAACTTATTTTTCACTTAGCAAATGCTGAAAAACACATTGCACACATTTTGCACTGTCTATTTTGTATCTTATCCCACAATATGTCCACAGACTATTTCAGTGCATTGGGAATCTCTTGTAGTCATTTGGAGTCAAAACTGAGCAAAAGTTTATAATCCTCAAATCTTCCATCAACTAGGTTTAAAATTAGATTTAACAAACTTAAAGAATCTTTGTAAACAAGTTTAAATTGAGGCCCTGTTGCATAATTGCTGTGAAAAAGCTGAAGACATTACATGGTCCCTGGGTGATGGTTATGAAAGCACTTTTTCTCCAGTTGATCATATGGCTTACAGAGTGTAAATCAGTATTTGTCAACAGGAATACAGACTCCCCAATGGTGTGTTACCATCTTCTTGCAATGTCTGTTATCTACTTTTTAATTTAGATCTCTAGCTAAGCATTGCATTTTATTAGGTTGCAGAGAGAGAAAAATATATAAATTGTCCATACTTTTCTGTTTATCTTAAAAATGAACATATCAGCAAATTGCTGTGAATGGAATGCATATACCCTGCTTGTGATAGCTAACACTTAAAGCACAGTCCTAGGTACGTTTAGTCAGAAGTGAGACCCACTGGATAGTATCTTGCCATGTAGCTCCATCGAAACAATGGCTGTGACATCACCAGCTATGGCAGACTTCTGCAATTAAACAGCTCCTTTTCTGCTTTTGGTGTGTGTGAGAGTCATGCACAATGATACCAAAATCACACCCATCCCAAAATCAAGAAATGAACTCCTGAATTAGCAGCAACCTCCTGCAGCCAGTGATGGCATTCCTGTTGTGCAGACAGAGCTACACAACAGGATACTGGCCACTAAATTTAACAGGGCTTAATTATAGGTATGTGGTATAGGACTGCAGTATAAATACAACATTTTGTGCAGAAGGTGCATAAACATGAGTTTTGTCAAATGCTTCATTGTCAAAGCACTACTGTACATTCTTAAATGTTAAACATGAGAATAAGCAGACTGTGACTGGGCAGGCAAGCAGAGGTGCTAATTTCTAAGTTAGCCGCCACACACGCTGATTCATGAGCTTCCTTAGTGTGAGGTTCTTTTCTCATTCTTTGGAAGCAAGCCTAATAAATCATAACCAGAGAACTTCTATTCAGCAAAGTTACATTAACTTCATCCTGAATGGTTTGGTGGCACATAGTTTTCATGTGCGACATTTAACTTGCCACCTAGATCCTTCTACTTCCGAAAAGTCACACATTGATAATTTTAGATCTCTGGGTGAAGTCCACTGTTTGAACTCCAGCAAGTTGCAAAACAGTGTTAATAGGCATGTGATCCAACCGGTTCTTGTCCAGGTGCACAAAGTGGATTTCATTACCTGGAAGAAATTAGAAACCAACAACATTGTCTTATTTATTAATTTCTTCGATTTTTATCCCGCCCATCTGTTATATTTTATCCATACAACATACTGCTTCAGCATCACTTTGTTTTTTGGCCCATGTGATCCAGTGCACTGGGTGTTCAGTTTTGATTTGGGACAAGATGGTACATCAGCCATGGATTTACTGCAGCTGCTTTTCAGAGGGCAGAACATCACAGCGTGGAAATATTTTTTTAATGACTCCCAATCAGTGTAAATTTTCAGACCAGTCATCCAAAAAAGTAACTTCTACAAACTTTGCAAAACATCCCATTTCTAGAGCAATCTTAACTCTAACCTAGGAGGAATAAATGTGTAAAGTAGAAAATTTCCAAACTTAACATTTCTAAACAGCATTAGAGTGTGCGGCGGAAATCAAGGACTGTTTTACCACCTACGCTTGCATGCCTTTCCCTTATGTTTCACAGATCAAATCATTGCAGACTTCCAAAGAAAACCAATTAATCTTCCGACCCATCTTAAAAAATGTGAAACCCCAAAATCTTTTGGTCAAAACACAAAACCACTTTTCCACAGACAGCCTCAGCTGGGAGACAAAAAACATTATGTAACATGACCAAAGGGGGGAAAAATGATTTTGTCATGCAGCTTTACCTGGACCTAAAATCAAAGTCCCTCCTTGCTGTGCAGGATCTCCTTGAAAATCAAAGGCAGGGCTTGCCATTGCTCTCCATATGCTTTTAACGCTTCCCGAGAGCCAGTTGGATTTAACGTGAGGGCTGTGCACTAAAAGAAGGGGAAGCATAGTTGGAGTAAGAACCCTGTACATAATGACTTGTAAGTTGAAATCAACTGCAAATGCATGTGTGAAGGTCCAGGCTACATGTATCCATATATCAGAGAACTTGGGGAAAACATTTTTGTGTATGCTTATACTGCATATAATTCTCACACATACACACACCCAAAAATGTATCCATATATCAGAGAACTTGGGGAAAGCATTTTTCTGTGTGCTTATACTGCATAAAATTATCTCTCTCACACACACACACCCAAAAAAGAGAGAAGGTGTTCAGGTTTGGGGCTCACTCCAGTGCTGATGGAAAATATTAATGATTCTTCCCTTCTCTAAGACAGCAGTATCGGATATGCAGCACCACAATAGGAAAGGAGAAAGGAGAAGGAGTGGGGAGAGAATGAAATATTGATGCAGAAAAAAAAAAATGCAGAAAACTTCAAACAGAAGAAGAAAATTAGAGTTTCTCCCTATTTGCAAAGTCATTACTGTACTTACTTTTCTTCTACAGAACCTGTGATCACCAGACACAAGACTAACAGCCCAAAAGCTACGTAAGTGTACTCTGACATAACTTCTATTCTGCAGTAGGATTCATTTCTTCCTAAGAGGATTTCAGACTGCAGCCTGATTGATACATTATATTGTGCAGTACTATCACTTCTGCAAGAGATTCCTCAACACAGTGGTGGGAAAAGTAGTATGTGAATGAGTTCTTTACGTGAATTGGTGAACTGCAAACCCTAGGGTTCCAAAGTTTGACAGTGTACACATTCAAAGAGGAGGAATCACAGGTACAATATTTGCACACTTGTTGGTCAATGATACATCCCTCTTACACTGGTCTTGCTATTGACATTTGACGACCTGAGCCTTGAACAGCCCTTAGGATTTTCTATCTATACGTATAAAAAGAATCTGCCTCTATGTCTACGTAATTTATGATAACAGTTCATCCTTTGTTTTCAGAGATGATCATCTCCATTGGATGCATCATTTAGGGGGGAAAAGAGAAGTGAGTCATTAAGATTGAGCAGTATCGTGTCCATGGACACACAGATGACGAACTAGCCCTATATGAGCATGGAAATGGGAAGGGCACATTAGCTAATCCTGGGCTTGTTGGGCTGTCAGGGAGTTAATTTCTTGCTTTCCCACTTCTCTCTCTTTTTCCTTGATTCTTTTTATTTTAAATTTCTTGGCCCTTTATTTGACAACATTTTGCCAGACATTTCAGTTCTTTTTCTTTTATGAGTAGATGGTAGGACCGCCTACCTGAAGTAACAGACGTCTCCCCACTTTTCATGCCAAGTGTTTTATAAATTTCCCTCTCAGGATCCACATACATTTCATGAGGATAGCCAGTCAAATTGCAAAATGGCTGCAAAAGACAGTATAAATAAAATATCTGTAGAACATACTATAAGACATTTTCTGCTGCCTGGAAAAGAAAGGCTCGAATTATATCTATTTCTAAATCTATCTATAATATATTTAACACATATTTAGAAGAGGTGGTTCCTCAAGCATGAAGGACGTTTGTTTGTCATCATACTTCTCCTAACATCTATATCCTGTGTTTAGCCATGCTTTGTTCTGCCATTGTTTGTTGGAAAGTTAACACTGGCTTCTTTTGCAAGTCAGAATACAAGAGGTATGCATTCCTGAGAAAATCCCATTGTCGGAGGGAAAATGAGAGAAGCTAGGCTTTCCTCTTACCATCCAACTTGACCTATAGAGGGTGCACATTTACTACAGAATAAATCCCATTACACTCATTGGCACTTTCTGCTCAGTAAGGATCATGCTATATAAATACAGTCCTAAGCACAACTGTTTTCAAATTGGTTGGTCTCACTGAAATGAAAAGAGACTTATTTCCAAGTCATTGTATTTAGGATGAGAATATGTATCTAATTCTGAATAATTCAAATTCCATATTTAATATATAGCTACTCCTGAGACTCAAAAATGTGTTATTCAAATAAAGCTTCCCTTAAAATTGATGGGATTTTTTTGTTAAATAAAATAGGCTTTGTTTGCCCTGAAAACCACTTTAAAGCTCAGGGAAAACCACTGTAATTATTAATTTAAAAAAATCTAGTCTAGCAAAACTGAATACTAAGATTTGCTTCTGAGTAAAAATGAACCAGACTGCATGGACTGCATGACATCTCCTAAAACATCTATACTATTTGATTGCCAAGGGATTTGAATTAGTTTAAAATTGCTATGTTAACAGCATAAGCCTATATACTATATAAGCCTATATATTGTATTGGAGCTGAGGCTCCAATACTTTGGCCATCTCATGAGAAGAGGAGACTCCCTGGAAAAGACCTTGATGTTGGGAAAGTGTGAAGGCAAAAGGAGAAGGGGACAACAGAGGGTGAGATGGTTGGACAGTGTCATTGAAGCAACCAACATGAATTTGATCAAACTCTGGGAGGCAGTGGAAGACAGAAGGGCCTGGCGTGCTCTGGTCCATGGGGTCACGAAGAGTCGGACACATCTTAACGACTAAACAACAACATTGTATGTCAGCTTGAAAGCAGATTTCCTGGTATGTGTGTATAGAATAAAAGCCTTTAAAAAGTCAGCAAGTCATAAAAAACAGAGAGGCTGAACAATTCCCCTTCTCTTCAATAAAACTGGTAAGCAAAAATTAATAACAATATGAGCAAGCAGCAAAAGGAAACAACAAGAATCTTTGTAGACACTGTATTAGCAAAGGCTTTCGCGGTCAGGATCTAATGATTGTTGTGGGTTTTTCGGGCTCTTTGGCCGTGTTCTGAAGGTTGTTCTTCCAGTCCTTTGAAGATGCCGGCCACAGAGACTGGCGAAACGTCAGGAAGAACAACCTTCAGAACACGGCCAAAGAGCCCGAAAAACCCACAACAACCATTTGTAGACATTATTGAAAATTTACTAAAGACATGGGGGAAAAGACATACTATGCATGGTACCTAAAAGATGTTTTAGAAAGGCACTAGGCACACATATAAGGTACTAATCCTGCAAAGGCCCTCTTTCCACTATCCACCCAACTCTGAAGATGTGGAAGAAGAACTTCTGAAGAAAATCAGCCGTGATTGTCTACTCAATATATTTATTATGTATTGCATCTCCAGCCTTGCACTGTTATGGGGAAACAGTGAAATTGAACAAAGGTGCATGCTCACGTACTCACAGAGAAAGAAGCACTGACTTCAGAATACAAGAAAGGAACATGGGCCTAAATCCCATGTACTGTAACATTGTTATGTGCCATAAATTCAGAACCAACTTACAGAGATGCTAATAAGGCTTTCAAAATAGATTTAAGAAGTGGTTTTAACTATATCCACCCCACTCTCCATGAGTTTCTACAGCCAAGTTGGGGGTTCAAACCCAGAATTCCTAAGCCCTACTATGTCAAACTACCTACTACATCACATTGGGTATCATTAACAGAGTAAAAATTCCCACTACCACAGTCATACTGGACGACACTATTGTGAAAGGAGCATGTAGCCATTTCCACAACAAAAATGAGGCTGGATACCAATCAGTGGAGGTTGATGACTCTGATTTCAGGGGATGACTGCAAATTTTAATTTGAACTTTACAGGAACTATTCAAAACATTGAGCCCGTTTTGAAGATAGTGTTCAGCACCTTGATTAACTCCTGGAATGTTCAGGCTGAACCCAGAACAAACTTACTGTCCCCACAAAATGGGATTCACCAGCTTCCAGTCCGTTGGCTAATAATGAAAATAAGCAACCAGTGCACACTGTGGTCAGAATGTGTTGGGCTAGTCCAAGAACATTATTGTTGTTGTTTAGTCATGACCGACTCTTTGTGACCCCATGGACCAGAGCACGCCAGGCCCTCCTGTCTTCCACTGCCTCCCGGAGTTGGGTCAAATTCATGTTGGTAGCTTCGATGACACTGTCCAACCTTCTCATCCTCTGTCGTCCCCTTCTCCTCCTGCCTTCACACCTTCTTAACATCAGCGTCTTTTCCAGGGAAAGTAATATGTATTATTAAATACATGATAATCACCTTTCTGCTTGTACTTGTTCACTGATATACTACTTGATACAATAAAGTGTCAGTTTACACTGAAATATATATTCTTACTTACCTTAATATGGTGGTGTGATGATTGCCCAATAACTATAAGTTGGACATTTGCATCCTAAAATAAAACAACAACATATTAGGGATATACATCTCAAAGCTGTTCCCAGCACTTAGATTACTTGATCAGTGTGCCAACATTAAGCTGGACTAAGAAACAGTGTGACACTGATGTGATTCAAAATTTGAAAGTTTGCTAGCAATTTACAATGAAGTTGTATTAGAGGCAGATATTAGCACAACTGCATTTGGACTACAAAGCCAATTCTATAACATTATTGATGAATTAGTTTTTTTTAAAAAATTGATTTTTTGTTGTGGTGTGGAAGGGATCCCGGGTCCTTGAGTGTTGTGCCAACGAACTGTAAGCGTTGGCAAGTTCTACCGAGTTGGAAAGTCTTCAAGTACAGAAGACTGGCAATAGACTGCAGGTTTGCCATTCAAAGACCAGCCCACTTATATAGAAAGAGGTTCATCCCCTAAAAGTTGACCACCAGCCAACAAGCTGGCCACAATACCCATGGACACAATGACAATGCACTGGTAAAGGGACCAATGATAGCAGATTTTCAAACTACTCAATGTCAAAATGCACATGACAGGATCATTAAGTCAAGACATTCACAGAATTTTGTAGCTGGAAGGGACTCAAGGGTCATGAAGTCCATCTTCCTGTCAAAGGACGAAATTGTCAAACAAGCCATTTCACCTGGTAAACCAGATTAAAAGGTTGGATGTAGCGATTACTCCACTGGTTTAGTTGACTTTACAGAATTTTGTAGCTGGAAGGGACTCAAGGATCATGAAGTCCATCTTCCTGTCAAAGGAGGAAATTGTCAAACAAGCCATTTCACTGGTAAACCAGATTAAAAAGTTGGATGTAGCGATTACTCTACTGGTTTAGTTGACAAACCAGCTATCATTTGGATCTTCCTCATTTCAGCTGTCTGCTATTTCCCTTTACTGTAATAGAGCAACGGGTGGACAAAATGGCTGCTCCAATAGCTCAGATGAAATCACTGGCTACCACGTGGCTCCCCTCTGCACTGTCTCCATTCCAGATGATAGTTATGAAATTATGGATGTCACTGGCTCCTTTTCCATAAGGAAATAACATGTAAGAGCAGAGAGTGTGGCAAGCACGTTAAACTGTATTGTACCTCAATTACTGTCTTTGTCAACTTCTATGAACTAGAGGCAAAAGACTGCAGTACAGAGCCTTTTCTGTTACATACTTTCTACTACACTAAAGTAAGTCACAACCAGAAGAGACTACTCTGAATCAATGGAATTTATGCAGGAGCTGACTCACCAAATCCCCACTTATTCAATGGGCTTACTCTAGTGCAGTTACATAGGCCAAGCAACAGGATTTCAGCCAATTTTTCACTATACTTTCAAACATAAAACTTTTTTAAAAACTTACTTGTAAATATTTCTTAGGAATTTTGCCCAGGTCCTCCACATATTCCTTACAAATGTAACACAAGAAATGCTGAAAAGAGATAATTAGAGATGTCAGGAGATATAACTGTAATAATTAGAGATGTCAGGAGATACAACTGTAATAAAATTATTATGTTTCAAAATGAATAATGAGTGAGAATGTGTAATTCAAAATATATAATGAAAGTGGACAGTAGGGAAATACACTGGAGCTTAAATTGGGGGGGGGGATAGAAATCCCTCTAAGGTGGATTAAGAATTGGAAGTTTGGATGCACAGTGAGAGGCTTTACTGGCTTTCATTCTTGTTTCCTAAAATATCAAAGCATCCGAAACAAAGAGAAGACAAAAGTACTATGTTGTATTCATTGCGCATGTGTGTCCATGTGTTGGTGAAATACTGTGGAAGTGATATGAAAACATACTCATATAACATGCAATTAATTTACTGGGAGATTTTTAAAAAGAATGGCAGAAAACCCATGTCCATCTGATGTTGCTGGAAGGTAACAGACATAACAATGTGGTCCCAGGGAGTAGGAAACGTTTTATTACTGATAGGGCAATGGCAGGCAGGCTCAGAAGGAATACTGTTATTTGTGCAAGCCTAACTCAAAGTACAGTACGTTGATTGTGGTGCTGGAGGAGGCTCTTGAGAGTCCCCTGGACTGCAAGGAGAACAAACTCATCCATTCTAAAGGAAATCAAGCCTGAGTGCTCACTGGAAGGACAGATCCTGAAGCTGAGGCTCCAATACTTTGGCCATCTCATGAGAAGAAAAGACTCCTTGGAAAAGACCCTGATGTTGGGAAAGTGTGAAGGAAGGAGGCGAAGGGGACGACAGAGGATGAGATGGTTGAACAGTGTCATCGAAGCAACCAACATGAATTGGACCCAACCCCGGGAGGCAGTGGAAGATAGGAGGGCCTGGCGTGCTCTGGTCCATGGGGTCATGAAGAGTGGGACACAACTAAACAACAAACTCAAAGTACGAAGAGTCGGACACGACTAAACAACAAACTCAAAGTATACACTCACTGTAGGTGGTTAGAATTATGCACCATATAAGGTTCTTCTATGAGGGGGAAAAAGCCCTTCTCCTGGCTCATCTTGGAAATCTGCCAACCGAATGACCTGCAGACAGAACTTCTTTGCCATCTAAGATCTGCCAACAGAAAAGTTGAAAAGGATGCAGAGAAGGGGCAGAATGAGGGAGAAGCCCAGTGAGAGCAAAGCCAAATCGCTTCAGATCCAGGGTCATTTGCCAGCATAGGATCTCAACCAACACCTTGCCCGAGCGTATTTCTATTTACTCGAAAGTAAGCCCTACTGATGTCAGCAAGCCTTCCCAGCAAGTCAAGCCTCACGGTCAGGTCCACACAACTCCTCCTGCTCCAAAGGAAAGTTCCCTGCGACTCGCACCTAAACACGCGGACAAAGAAAGGCGTGTCCCGTCCCCCTTCCCCCCCGCCGCCTCTTTCACAGCCTTGGACGCCAGTGCTCGTTGGTGGCCGTTCACACGTCCTGTTTATAAGAGGAGGCTGGGGATCCCAGCTCCTCAGCCTGGACTCCTTTCAGCAACTTTCAGGCTCTGTGTGCACGTGTAACGCTCCGGCATCCTAAAGTGAAATATTTGCTCACCCGTAAACGAAACTAGAGCGCGTTTATTTTAAAACTAATGTCATGCGATCGTTCGGGAGGTCTGGCCCAGGCCGGGCGTGGCGGAGCCACGTCGCTCACCCGCACAAACACCACGATCGCCTTCCGCTCCTTGTAGAGGCTCCCGAAGGGAAGGGCTTTCCCAGCGGCGTCCACCACCAGACACCGGGCGGCGTCGCGGAGTTCCGCGGGCTCTTCTCCCGGCGGCCTCCAAGGGCTTTGGTCCCCGATCTGCCGCGTGACCGGCGCCGCCGCCGCCACGGCCCTCTCGGCCGGGGTTCCCGTCGCTCGCCCGGCCATGTCCGCCCCGGCCAGCCTGAGCGGACCTTCGAAAGGAAGACTGAAGCCCTCCACTCACGCCCGGGCAGGCGAAATCCGCCGCCCGTAGGAGTGGCAAACCCGGAGGCCGCGGAACTCGAGCATGGGAGAGGTGGCTGGCGGGCGGGAAGGAAGGCTTTCGCTGCTTCCTTCAGCTCGGAAGAGGCAAATTGCGTCGTTACATCTTTACTAACTTCCGCGCAGCGTTATTCCCCGCCTCTTCTCCCGGTGGTAACGCGCTCCAGAGGCCGAAACTTCACTTTGGGATTCCGGATTCCGGGCTCCCCTCAAATGGCAGTTTCTTGTCGAGCTTCCGTCGTTGTAGCCGCTCTTCCTTGCGTTTGCCCGCCCCCCCCGGTTTNTCTCTTGTTTTGACTGCTTTATGGTCTCGAGGTTGAATCTTGGTCGAACCACGAACCCGGCCGAACCGTCATTTTGTCGGTTCGTACCCCCCACCCTAGTCTCTCTCTTAGAGATTATCTGTGAGGCCTGTTGCTGGCCTCAGCTGTCTTGTTCGACAAGGGTGCCTTCCTGTTTTGTGAAAACTGTGTTGGCTGTTCAACAAAGCTGTGGCCGTGGTTTGTATCCACACGTGGAAAAACCAGCTACACTGTGTTAGGCGGGATCAGATTCGTCCTTATTTATGGGATTCAGAGTTTCGGGTCAGCAGTTACAGGCAGACAACGCCACGGCCTGCATTTGAGAGCAGGGAGAAATAACATTTCAAAGAAAGGAAGGGGAAGTTATTAAGGAGAAATGCTACCCATTTGGAGTAAAGAATGGCATATCAAAGTCACAATTTAAACCTCATTTCCCCATGTTTTATGTGTATGGGGGTGTGCAGAAGTCACCAAAGAATCACTATTTTTTAGTTACATTAATAAAGGGGAGGTGGTTTTGTAAACAGTTATGTAATGAATTGTGTTCCTTTTTTAAAAAAATGAGAATAACTGTTATTCTTTGTAGATCAGAGGTTATTCTCTGATTTCCTCTTTAGGAGTGCATTAGGAACTTGTGGTCCATGTACTGGAGCTAACGGCAGAAATGTGCAATAGGTGTGAGAATCAAGAGAGGCAGTGTGAAGTAGCGTATGGGGCATTAGACCACGACTCAGAAGAGCTGGATTTTAATAAGCCTGTCTTGGCCATAGAAACTTTCTGGCGGGCAGGAGTGGTAGAACTTCTTAAAATTCTCACATAACCATGAAAACTATAAGGTTTGCAGTAAGTCAGAAGTGACTTGATGACAACATAACAACAATAACATTTGAATTACAGAAGAAGGTACCTCTCCACATTTTTAAATCAATGCCAGCATTTTGAAGGAGTTGTTATTGCTAGGCAATTGGGAGTCAGAAATCTTTGCCAAATCTTTGCTGCCTTCAGTCTTTCAAAAGCTGACCAGTACGTCCCTAGTTTCCTCATACCAGCCAGAGTTCTCCAGAATCTTGGGTAAATTTCTCTCTGCTTTAACTGTACTTTATATTTGGGACTTCATGCAGTGGCTGGATAGCTTAGTGAGTTAGGTATCTGGCTATGGAGTAAGAGATTAAGATTTTGATTCCCTGAAAAGCCTGAAAAGGGTCACTATAACTCAGAATTTACCTGATGGCATATAACAACAACAATAGTTACAGAGGTAGGGAACTAGTGACCACCCCAAATTTGCTGAATTACAAGAGATATAGGGCTCACTGTTTTATTCTAGATTGTAGGAACCCTCCCCCCCCACATACCCACATTTTATGTAATAAACAATAATTG